AATGTTTCATTTCAGTAATGAGAACTTGGTGAGAGATACATACTTGCGAAGAAACATGGATGAACAGGGCTGGGTTCCTGCTAGCTTAATAGCAGGCTTCAAAAAAGTTAGTTTTTTTTTTTTTTGCTAAAAAAACAAATGATTTCTTATATAGTTCTAATTATCTTTTGTTGTGTTACAGGTTTCTTATTTGACAGATAACATTCAACTAATATTAGATGCTATGCGAACTTCGACAGTTGTGGAAGTTCAGGTACCTTTTGGCATAATATTTTAATCCAATGAATTGGATTTCTTTTACTTTGTAGTAATTTAAGTATCTTAATTTAGAAAGTGAAAGTAGTTGAATGATTTTGTTATAGGGTGAGAAGATACGGAGGCGAAATGATTGGATGAAGTGGATGATGCCTGTAGGAGGTCCATCAAGTCCTCAAGCTGCTGTTGGAAGATCTTCAAATGATAATGAAGAGTTGGTGTCACAGCTTCAGGGTGTTCATCTTGCAACTTCTCAGGAAAAATTCACTACTCATGGAGGCTCAATGGCTTGAAACTTATACCAAACCTTTTAACTACAAATTCAAACATTTTGAGAAGTTCGGTTCTTGATGATCATATGATGGCGTTTTGAGAGAGGCAAATGGACTGATTTTAAAAAAAGAAACAAAAAAAAAAAAAAGAGGAAAAACTTTAATAAAAAAAAGATAGAATTATTATTATGATGAGGAGACTTTAAACAGTGGTAGTATGGGTTTGTTGGATTTAAAGATTTACTTTTGTTTGGACCATTATAATTGTGGATCTTGGTTTATTATGTTTTGTTGATACTTGATACTACGGGGGGAGAATTTTGTGATTTACTTCCCCACCACCACCAACTATACTATACTTGTGCTGCACCTTCTTTCAGGTGGTTGAGGGTTTCCAGATTTGATCAATTCAATTGTGTGCTTATTATATTCTCACTTAAATCTTTTGCTTTCATTTTTTTGATATGCTGGAATCATCATCTATTTCAAGTCAAGTTTTATGTTTTTTATGTTTGTGTTTCAAAATTTGAAAATGGTTGTGGTTTAGCTTTGGATAAGCTCTAAATGATAGTCATACAGGGTATTGATGTGATTCGGGTTACCCTTTTTCTTAGTGTTGCAAGGTGAGCTTGTAGAAGGTATACACATCCTTCGGCTACTCAAACATGAAAGTGATGATTTCTCATCCTTTTAAGCTTGTAGATGGAGTTGCCTTAATTTGTTGCACATTCTTCTACAATTAAGTGACATTTAGAGTTTCTTTTACTTTGATTTTGTATGGGTATTGTCAAACATTTCTTGGCCTAAGGACATGTCAACCCGTATAGATCGAGGAGACAACATTTTTCTTTGACAAAGATTACGCGAGTCTATTGATGACATGATGGTTTGTAGGTTTGTGAAGCATCTTTCTTTGGAAACATCAAGTAGCGACTTGCTTCTTTATCATTAGGTTTGGTGGTTTGTTGTTGTACCCAACAGTAGAGGTTTTGTTTTATGCTTTTTTTTGGCCTTAAGGGTTTAATATTAAGTGTTATAAGACCATATCTTACAGGATAGTGATCTTTATGATATGGATTGATTGGATTTTGATTATATTTTTGTTTTGGCTTGTCTTTGTGATACAATTCCAAGCTTTGATTTTTGTGGTTTCACTAGCAAGGACACCCCTAAAGCCCAACATGCATTGTCGTAAACGTGACTAGATATGGAACAACACACTGATACAATTGTTAGACAAAAAATAATTTTTGAGTGTCCATGAGCACAACATACTTTAGATTTTCTCTTGACTATCCCTCTAGATGGAGTGTGGAGTATCGTACGATTCTTAAGTATTGTCTCATGATTTGATTATTTTTGGTTGAGGTATGTTGAATTTGTCGAAAGACTTGTCTGGACTCTTTTGAAGAGCATTTAGTGCATTGTAGAGAGTTTTCAGAATTCAAGTACTGACATGATATGATTATGGATGTTCTTTTTGATGTATTTAGGCATATCAATGTTTTTATCAAGAAAGAGACACTTATGAACCTTTTGACTTACCTGTTGGAAGATAGGTCAACATGTTATTTTGTTTTTTGAGTGGGTAGGAAGCAAACACGAATGTATGGATTTAATAGGGGGTTCCCCTTTTGCGAGCATGAGGAGTGAGTGTTTCACCATGGTGCATGCTGCTTGAAAAATGATTCATGCAAAGTAAAAAAACATGAGAAAATATGTACGAAAAACCAACACGTTTTTGTATCATTTGTGTTTGATATAGTTGGTTTCCTTGCCCCAGACGCAACTAGTCATGCATAGTAATGCTAAGACCTTGAGATCTATAGATGTAGTTTTAAAAGAATTTGAATTTTCCATCTAGAAGGTGTTAGCATTGCAATTTATTGTCTGTTTGCATTTCATCTCAATATACTACTTAAATATGAAACACTAACTTTTTGTTAGGTGAGATTATTAATCCTCCTATTATTTTAGTGTTTATGAGAATGTAGAACATAGAGCCTAACTTTCTTTTCTGTATATCTGTTTTTTTCGTTTGGGAGTAACTTTTGTTTTTGGTTTTGGAGTAGCTACTTGCATATCCAAATCTATCATAATGTTCGTAGCCAAGAAAGTTCGTCTTTTAGGTGCAGCCCACCACCAAGTACCTTGACTTCATGAGAATGTTAGACTATTGAATATGAGCTAGATAATGACATTGAGAGGCCGACCTGACCATCCTTAACGACATGGAACCTATTGAAACACGATCCCATAACAACACCTTGTTGCTTCTCGTGGACTACTTGATGCATCTCAATTGCGGTGGAGAAAAGAGAAGGATTTATTTTTTTATTTTAAAACCAATAAAAATATGGTGTGGTGCGTGGTGACCATGAAATGGTATGGAGAATAATATGACATGTGATGTGACCAAAAATGACGCGGAAGATATGAACGGCCCATACCCACCATCCTTAAAACTTAACGAAAAAAGAAAAAAAAAACTAGATGTTCTTTTTGAATAAACTCAATATGATGTACCTCTCCTCGGATCACAATAAACTCCCAAATACTTTACAAAAGATACATAACTCATCCCACTAACATCCCCTTGGGCCTTGGCATCGTCATAATTTTTTGTAATAGTTTATTAATTGTAATTTAAAACTTAGATCGCGAACAAGAAATATATGCTATAAATACAACTACTTGGATGAAGTTGGTCCTAACGAAATGAATTACCGCATTTTTTTTTTTTTTCTGTATTTGACTTGGAGATTGAAATATTTAAATTCTAATTTTATTCCTTAATTTTTTATAAACTATAAATAGAGAATATTGGTTAACGCTATTAAAAATTGAAATAAATCCATGGGAAGTTCAATGTGTATATTAATATTATAAACATTTGACAATTTGACATCTATTTCAAAAGTGTCAATTGTTGAAAAATATCTTATTTTTTTTTTTATTTTTTTTTTCATTTACTACAATAATAAAGAAGTCATGTTAGGAACGAGCCTTGTTAAAATCCGGTTTCAAAATAAAACGGAAAATATGTTTCACTCTAATCAATGATGTAAGAATATACTTAATTAGTTTTCTTGTATAGATGTTTGATATTTCATAATTTTGAACCAAAATAAACATTTTAATATGATCTTTTGAAATTGGTTATGGCCCCATGGTTTTAATAACCGTGTTTTGTCTCTGGACATGTGTCATAATATGTAGTAGTGGATGTAGAACGTTTTAATAGTGGTGACACCAAAAAATTAATAATAACATTCATATTTCGAAGATGTTGCACCTAATAGAAAAACAAAAGAAAAAAACTTACACTATAAGGTTGAATCGGAGTAGCGGTCTGGGACCCAGACACTACATACATCCGCCATTGATAATACTTGGATTTTAGTGTTGATGGTATAAACATTTTACCATTAATTTTTTTCGTATATATTTTACTATTTATTTTTTTTACATAATTTATCATTATTTTTTCTATATATATTTTACCATTAATCTTACATAATTTATTTAAAAATGTCTAATACATATACTTTAATATAAATACATATTTTTACTTATAAATAAAGTATTTTTTGATGACAGTTTTCTTTTTCTCTGAATATTAATTAATGGTAAAATTGCTTTACCTTACTAATCGATATAACCTATCTCATTGGTCTAATATAAAGTCAAATTTTTTGATTAAATAATGAACACCAATCACTTTTGCAAATCTAACAAATCAATATCATAGCATAGCGTCTGATAATGAAATCAAATAGTGATCGAAGTCGGTGAAACGAAGCAATTGGGTGACAAAGATTGCCAATTCACAAGTGATTTTCAATCAAGAAAATTGCAGAAAATGAAGTATAGTCCGCAACTTCAATGGCTTCATCGAAATTCATTCTGGTTATTAAAGACAAGTCCAAATTTGTTGTTTGCTCATTGCTCATTGATATGTTTTCGATTACTCGTTTCAGGGTACATATTGTTGTTATTGGTAAAAAAAATGTGAGTATGTTGCTATTTATATATTGGTAAAAAAGAGTAAAATGCATTGCTATTTCTTTCAATCTTCCCTTATTCGATAGAACTAAAGACAGTTAACGAATGTTTGCAGGGAGTTGCTAGAAGACCAGTGAAAACTGCCTTACAAGAGGCGGCAAAGAAGAGGGAGATGAGGTACTCAGATTTGAAGAAAATATAATGACAGGGGCATAAGGCGTCATTTTCATTCAAGTTATGGTTAAAAGGGTAATTTCCCATCTTTAATTTTAAATTTCTTGGTGTATAATGAAGGAATGAACAGAAAAATTTAAAAAGAAATGCAGAGTTTTGAGAAAATGAGAACAGTGTGCAAGTTTGACTTCAATTAGTTCAAATTTATATATCAATCACGAGGGATACTAAAATCCGGAAACCTGGAACTTTAATACATGAATAATTTATTTATAATTTTTACAAATTTATATATCAATCACGAGGGATACTTAAATCCTCGTCCACACAAAAACTCATCTCTTCATCAACATTAAAAATCAAACTATCTGAATCTAAACATCTCAAACTTGTACTCTGAAAAGAAACACTCTCCATGTCTACACGAAATCTCTGAAGCCCAACACCATCCAGACTTACCGAATTACTATCATGATCAGTCCCTTGACCATTACGAACCTCCGTTGACCTACCACCGGAGGTTGCCGCCAGAGGTCGTGGTGGCAGTAGGTGGTGGATGAATCTATCGGCCGACAAGAGAGCTGTCTCTAGCTCTCGGAAGACTTGAGTCATTGTGGGCCTTTGTTTGGGCTCTTTTACCACACATCGTAAGCCCAATCGACCCATTTTAAGCATGATATCCATGTTGCATGGCCCTAGCAACAGATTTGTATCCAGGATTTCTTCAATATTCCCACGTTCAATATGAGGCTTCGCCTGAGAAAAGAAAACAAAACTAAGTTTATAACTTACACTCAACCCCTTGTACTATTACTGCATTACGATATAACTCCTTCGGATTTTGTAGAAGAAAAATTGTTCATTATTTAAATTAACTAACTTATATTGTCCAAAAGTCCATACAAAACAAGTCGCTTTTGGTCTGGTTAATTTGGATTTGGTTTCAAGGTTATAAATAATTTTTGTGTCTCTTTCATGACTTGGTCAGCTTACGAAAGACATTTTTGGTTATTAAAATAGTTTAAGGAGGATATTTCTTGACCATTTCAATTTTCAATCACAAGTTGGAAAGAAAACAAAAAATTATTACCCATTCAATGATGTGATAACTGGTTCGACACCGGTTTGAGTCAACAGCCGGCCGAGCCGCAATGAGTTGTAAAAGAATAACTCCAAAGCTATAAACATCGCTAAACTGGCTCAAATGACAACTTGTACAGTATGCTGGATCAAGATACCCTGGTGTACCTTTAATCTGACTACTAACATGAGAGTTATCCCCAATTGGGCCGGATCTAACTAGCCCGAAATCCGAAACTTTGGCCTCAAACCTATCTCCAATGAGAATATTGCTTGGTTTTATATCTCGGTGGATTATGCTCGGTTTAATTCCTTCATGCAAATGAGCTATACCTTTAGCTGCTTGAATTGCTATGTTTACTCTTTGCCTCCATGTTAAGGGCTCTCTCCTCCTTCCTGTTACACATTTTCTCGATGAAAGTTACAAATCAGTGTGATGGCATGATATAACGATCGAAGAATTATTGAATGGTTTAATTTAAACTTACCAACAATATGTTCAAGTAACGAGCCATTTGGGACATATTCATAAACCAATATTTGCACTCCCTTCGTTCCTATGGTTGAAAAATACCAAATTTGGATTAATCTTTGTAACTTACATATTTAGCGACATAAGATAGGGTTTTACAAACCAGTTTCTTCACAGTAGCCCACTAGGCTAATGAGGTTCGGATGCTTCACCTTTGAGAGTAACTTGACCTCTATCAATTTCAAATGAAAAAATGGTTTAGAAAATGAAAACGAAGCATGATCAAAGGTGATTCGGGGGTTTACCATTCCGGAATTCTTTTATGCTTGTATAGGAATCGTCACGTGCCCTCTTGATGGCTAGAGTTATATCCCCTTCAAAAGTACCTTTGTATACATTTCCGAATGCACCTGATCCTATGAGATACTCTTTTGCAAAATGATTGGTAGCATTTTCGAGCTCTTCCACTTGAAATTTCCTCAACATAAGCTCATGAGCATCAATCTTATCTGTTTATATCAAACACAAGATCAAATTATTACATGCATGATGAAAACACGAATTTTCTTTATACAAACTTACTACTAGATTTAGAAAGTTCGATAAATTTAAACTAACCTTTCATGTACTCCATTCGTCGCTTGAATCCAGCCAAAAACTTCTTTTTCTTGCATAAGTATAACATTGCCGCGACAGAAAGTATGAGGCTACAAACGATTAGCGTTGCCCACAAATACTTGTTGTATAGTAATGAATTATCAAGATTTTTACTCTGAAATGGTGCTTCTGGCTGTGACGCTGAAGAATCCCATTGCTTTTCGGCCATTGGTAACACGAATTTCGCGCTCTTCTTTTTTTTTTTTTTTTTTTGGAAAAAACAAAATCTAAATTTCTAAATTTCCATAGATTCTATGTTTTTCTTTTCGTTCAAACCATTTGTTCTTGTTCGTGAAGAACTTGAAGCAATATGATCTCAAAGAGATGGGGTATTGGAAGCTTTAGTGGGTACTTTTTTCTTTTTTAATTTCCTTCAGCCGGCACTTTAAATTGTTTCATGTTGTTTTCAATACGTCTAATTTTGCTCTCTCTCTCTCTCTCTCTCTCTCTCTATATATATATATATATATATATATATATATATATATATATATATATATCAGAATGTTGATATGTATCACTTGTTATTCTTTCAGAATGTTGTTACAAGTGTATCACTACAAAATATTTAGCAATGAATTTGTGATAGAAATGACTTGAAGAATGGTTGGCTCCTCCTGAGATGTACGAGTTGTCTACATAGCTGCAGGAGCTGTTAGACAAGGGACTCATCAGACTGAGCAGTTCAGTCTGGGGAACCCCGATACAATTCGTGAAAAAGAAGGACGGGTCGCATCGGATGTGTATAGACTACCGGGAGCTGAATAAGGTAACGGTGAAGAACTGTTACCCACTCCCGAGGATTGATGACCTCTTTGACCAACTTCAGGGAGCATCTTGGTTCTCCAAGATCGATCTGTGTTCGGGTTACCATTAGATGAGGGTCCGAGAGGAGGATGTGCAGAAGACTGCGTTTCGGACGCGATATGGTCATTATGAGTTTGTGGTGATGCCTTTTGGGCTCACCAATGCTCTTGCTGCGTTCATGGATCTCATGAATCGCTTGTGTAGACCGATGTTGGATCGGTGTGTGATAGTTTTCATTGATGACATCTTGGTCTATTACAAGACTAGGAGCAGCATGAGGAGCACTTGCGGGAGGTATTGGATACTCTTAGGAGGGAAATCTTGTATGCCAAGTTCTCCAAGTGTGAGTTCTGGTTACACGAGGTGTAGTTTCTTGGGCACCTTGTTAACCAGGACGGGATTTCAGTCGATCCGGCCAAAGTGGAGGTCGTGATGAGGTGGGAGGCCCCGAAGTCTCCATTTGAGATTCGTAGCTTCCTGGGATTGACAGAGTACTATCGGAGATTCATTCAGGACTTTTCAAATACAGCTATGCCTTAGAACCAGTTGACAAGGAAAGCCATGGTCTTTCATTGTGGTATATTGCGATGCGTCCATCTCGAGTTTGTGTGCGATATTGATGCAAATGGGGCATGTTATCACCTAAGCTTCGAGGCAGCTGAAGCCTCATGAGGCGAACTATCCGACGCATGATTCGGAGTTAGGGGCAGTTTTTTTCGCCCTCAAGATTTAGCGTCATTATCTTTATGAGGTTTGTTGTACCATTTACACGGACCATAAAAGTTTTAGGTACCTTATGGATCAATCGAATCTGAACATGAGGCAGCGTCAGTGGCTTGATGTGGTGAAGGATTACGATTGTGAGATCCTCTACCACCCGGGGAAGGCCAATGTTATTGCCAATGCGCTTAGCCGCAAGGCAACGCTGATCAGAGACATCTGCATGAGGATGACCATGGTGACTCCGCTGTTGGAACGAATTCGAGAGGCCCATCAGGAGGCTATGAAGGAGGAACATCGTAAGAGTAAGCGTATTATGGGCTAGGTTTCCTCTTTTGATTATGACATCCATGGATTGTTGACTCTACATCGTAGAGTGTGGGTCCCATATCTTGGAGGTGTACGCCAGGTATTGATAGAGGAGGCGTATAAATCCAGGTTTTCTATCTATCCCGGGATGACGAAGATGTACAAGGATCTTCGTCTTAATTATTGGTGGCCCTTCATGAAGAAGGATGTAACATGGTTTGTTGAGAGATGCCTGACCTGTAGGAAGATCAAGGCCGAGTATAAGAGACCTCAGAGAAAGACCCAGCCGTTGCATATTCCGCTGTGGAAATGGGAAGATATCAATATGGATTTCATCACAAAGCTTCCCAGGACTGCACAGGGAGTGAATTCGATTTGGGTCATCGTGGATCGGTTGACCAAGAGTGCCCATTTCATACCGATCCAGGAGAGCATCTCGGCCGAGAAAATGGCCGATATCTACATCTGAGAGGTAGTAGCTTGGCACGGAGTACCAATCTCGGTGATTTCGGATTGAGACGTGCAGTTTACTTCCAGATTTTGAAAGAAGTTTCACGACGAGTTGGGTACTTGTCTGCACTTCAGCACTGCTTTTCACCCGCAGACAGATGGTCAGAGTGAGCGGACCATCCAGACCCTGGAGGATATGCTGCGGGCATGTGTTTTAGACTTTGGATGTAGTAGGGATACTTACCTTCCTTTGGCTGAGTTTTCCTATAATAACAGCTATCATACGAGTATTGATCGTCCTCCCTTTGAGATGTTGTATGGGAGGAAGTGTAGGACCCCAATATGCTGGGTTGAGGTTGGCCATAGGGTCATAGGGAGTACCAAAGTGGTACTCAAGATTAAGGAGAGGATCCAGCAGGTGCGGAGCGGGCTTCAGACTACTCAGAGTCGGTAGAAAAGTTATGCCGACAAGCATCGTTCGGACCTGGAATTCCAGGTCGAGGATATGGTGCTCTTGAAGGTGTCACCTTGGAAATGTGTCATCTGGTTTAGGAAGCGGGGAAAGTTAGGCCGTAGATACATTGGACCTTTCAAGGTTGCAGCCCGGTTGGGCAAGGTGGTGTATAGGCTGGACCTACCAGCCGAACTCAGTCAGATTCATAGAAGTTTTCACGTCTCCCAGTTATAGAAGTGTCTGGTGGACCATTCGGTAGTGGTGCCTTTTGAGGACATTCAGGTGGATGACAACCTGAATTACATCGAGCGACCAGTAGCTATCCTCAACAGGAAGTCGAATGATCTAAGGAACAAGAGGGTCGCACTGGTGAAGGTGAAATGGAAGCACCGCAAGGGCTCAGAATGGACTTAGTAGTCAGAGGACGAGATGCGGGAGCACTAACCCGAGCTTTTTCAGGGCTCAGCAACAAACTTCGAGGAAGAAGTATAAAATAAGTGGGGGAGATTTGTAACACCCGGTTCTTGGTACGTATTTAAATTCAAGTATTATTGTAATTTACTCTAGGACTCGGCGAGTTGGAGGCCCAATTTGTCGAGTAGACTCGACATTATGCGGTGGTTTTAACGATCTACTTGACGAGTTGGGAGACCGACTCAGCGAGTAGGACCTGTCTGGACAAAACCCTAATGTTTAGGTTTGTACCATATTTAAACACTTTATCTCATCCGAAACCAGCCTTTATCACCCTCCCAACTCAGAGAAACCCTAGATTGAAACCCTAAACCCTTATTGAGTGTTCTTGAGCCTTTTTGTTTCTTTTTGTGTGTGTTTGAAGTTGGAGAAGAAGAAGAAAGCTTGGAAATTCAAGTAGAAGCAAGGATATCCAGAAGTTTTAATTCATTCTTAGCTCATTCAAGGTAAAAAGCTGGAACCTTGACCATCTATCTCTTATATTTTGATTTGGGGCTATTTCTACCCTTTTTATAAGTGTAGAGAGGGAAAAATCGGATTTTGTGGGTGTGCTTAGAGTTACACTTCGGATTTCGGGCTATTGGGGGTCTTTATGGCATAAAGGTGCCAACTTTTTTTTCCATAAACACTTCATGCATCTTGTAGACCTCTTTTTATGGCTTTTTGAGCCAAAGGCTCCATGCATGTACATCAAGTTTGTAGCTTTACGTATGAAATGGACCTTAGGAGGCCAGATCTATGGTTTTGATGCGTTTAGACCCATTATAATAGATTGTATAGATTTGGACAAAGAGGGACTCGGCGAGTCATTCTTGGGACTCGGTGAGTCGGGGTGCATTTTCCACCAAATCCTTTCTGTTTATGGACCAGATGTTAAGATTAAAGGTTCCCTAGTTTTTTAGGTTCACTAGGGGCCTGGATATCATAGGACTCGACGAGTGGATGAACATACTCGATGAGTGCAAGGCAATGTCCTAGCCACATGAAGACGGGCTCGATGAGTTCAAGGGGAACTCGGCGAGTCATAGACTGAACACCTTCTTATGGATGAAGATGAACTCGGCGAGTTCAAGGACAAACTCGGCGATTCGGTTGAAGATAGCTCGATGTGTTGTTGAAGGAGAACTCATCGACCTCTTGCTAGACTCGACGAGTAGGGATGCAATTATGGCATTTAGTGGATATGGGGACTTGACGAGTTGGCGAGCAAACTCAGCTAGTCGTGTCAACCAGATGTTGACATTGACCAAAAGTTAGCTTTGACCAATGATTTGACTTTGACTTTTACTTGGATTTGAGTAAATCTTGTAAGGGTTATGAGTACGACTTGATAACCTAGAAAAGTTGTCGTGTAGGGATTGAGGAGTCGGGGAAAGTCGATTTTCACACCGAGGACAATACAGACACTACACGACGTTGATGTGAGTTACCCTTTAGTAGAAGTGGGTCTAAGGCACCAAGGTCGACCCACTAGTAGTTGATTACAATTGAGATAACTGTCTTTGTGATAATTGTCTGGTTTTCTATTACTTGATGAGTTCTATGTGCCAGTATGATATGTTCTATGTGATAGAGGTAGTAGGAGGGGAATAGTCCCCCGATTCGGTCATTAGGACCGAAGGGTAGGTCGGACACCCCAGATATGTCTGACAACATGTTTATGATATGTTATTATGTGATAGTAGTAGGGGTGAAATAGTCCTTGTGACCGGGTGAGATAGACCGAAGGGTAGGTTGACACTCTAGAATGGCCTGACATGGGTAGTTCAGCTCCCCAAAATTGCTTGACATGGGTAGGTCAGCACCATAGAATGGCTTGACATGGGTAGGTCAAGCACCCCACCCGACAGTATGTATGATTGTACGGTATGTGGTATGATGGGGGAACTCACTAAGCTTCGTGCTTACAATTTTTACTTTTGGTTTCAGGTACCTCTTCAGCTAAGAGTAAGGAGCCAACAGGGTAGTAGCGCATCGCACACAGATGATTAGGACCGAA